AATTTTCTTAGGCTGATTAGGTCCCTTTCACAAAAATTCCTCGTAAATACCCACTTATATTATCCATTTTTATATTGTATTATGTTATCCATTTTTACTCTAAACTTATACTTGTCCATTTTTTATATTATCCACCTATATTATCCATTTTTTACTCCAAATCTCCATTACCCAAACAGACCTTGCGGTTCAGCTGACACAATCGAATCATTTCCTTCCATTGATTTCGGTGCTTCTGCGACCATAACTTTTGTTTCTTGTGCCGATAGCTCGGGTGGAGCACTCCTCTCGACCTTAAACGTAAGATTTGTAGACGCAAAATTGCTCGAAAATTCGCTGATTAAAAACTTGAAAGTAATAAGTTCAAAAATCCCTCATAGGAAGTATAACATAGTGATGAATTTCGACTCATTCTTATAACCCTGTATTTTTTAAAATTGATACCCCCTTAGACGATGGCATTACATTCGATACTGGTGGAGCTGATGTCGACGGCCGTGGTACCACATCAACGACTGTGTCGTTTTGGACTATTTGCTCTGGAAGAGATGCGACGTTGATCGCGGGTGGTGGAGTAGATGCCACAGCAGTGACAGCATTAGAACCACCTAACACTGACTGCGCAACCTGCATTGTGAATTTCTGCGATGCATTTGAAGGCAACGATGATGGCTGCTCACGTTTCACGTCCTGCCCTGATGGCGGACCTTTCTTGCCGCCTGTAAATACATAAATATTTGAAAAAGATGAAAAAGTTTTTTACACTCTTAACAAGAACAATTACCAATACATGTAAAGAAACACAGATGCTTTAAAGCACTTTCACCTCTCCTCTTTCTCCCTTCTCTCCTCTCTTCAAAGACGCTGGTGACCTCACTTTGTGCAAGAAAATCTTTTTTCTTACAATCTTGGAGAAAACAGCAATAGTAACGAGACAACAGGTGCAAATTCAAGAAAATGTAATTCAAAATAATGGCTTTAAAAAATAATAAAAACCCCTGTTGAAGTATTTAGGAGATTTTAACGTCGCCGTTAATCGGGAAGCGGTAATGACGGAACTGAACCCCAATGATTGACTCCCTTGTTTATACAGTGACAACGGTTTATAATATTCCCACAAAGTACATGTTACTCTTTAACAAACCGGAATAAGGTTACAGCAGAGAGGCTTTGTTAGAGTAATTCGATATGGGAATATAAAGTTGATTAATATATTGGATCATCATCAAAAGAGCGAGGTTGTCAGAGAGTTTTGTGTCTACAATCTAGATATCGCAATTTAAATAAATAAAAGCAAACAGTTAAGAAATTTAAACATAAGGAAAAAATATTTGAATAAATCAATTTAAGAGATAAAAATTGGACAAATGATTCATTAAGATCGAAATATTTACATTATTATTTTTATGTAGTGAGTCATTTATCTAAAAATATTAAAATAACTTTTGTAGACCATATTTATATTGCTATAAATCTACATCAAGATATTTGCACAAAAAAAACGTTTTAATTTGACAAAAATCTTCGGATTTTTCCCGGCAACTTCATGTGAACGTTTTATATTTGAGATATACTAGCCGTAAATGGAAATCTAAACTACCGACACGGAAATGTGGGAAATAACGATCAAAAAAAGAATGATTAAGTGAAACTTGTAAATCTAATAACCCTCTCAGGAAGCGCTCAAACACTGTGTTCCCAACGTCCTCTCTTTCTAGAAAAGTATCCCTTAAAATCTCAAAGGTAGAGACGTTATTCTTAAGGCCTTTACTTTTTTGATAAGCTATTTACGGAATAGTTTACAAGCAGTTGCAAAATAAGCACAGATTTACACCAACAGTTAGTGAAAAAGATAAAATGAAGATAACAAGATGCTTAAAAGAGTTTAATTTTCTATACTCTCAAAAACAATGAATCCTGAAATCAATTCTGAAAGAAATACCTCAGACATTTTGATTATATTCGGTCGATAAGCAACAATAAATTGCTTCGAGAAATTTAACAACTATTATATTATTATCGAGTCTTTATACCATCCTTATACCAGTAGTCCTTTTCAGTTGCCTTCATAAATTACTCGCATAGTGATTAATGAAACAATACGGATGAAAAAGGACGATTGTAAAAACGCGAAAACATGCCGCCACCACTAAATTTTTCATAACAAATTTCGCCTTATTCATCTACCTTATGCTGCTTTCTGATGTTAATCATTAATCCATTTTTTTTTGGTCCATCTGCTCAAACTTTTTGTCTAACCTATCCCTTTCAGCTTTTTAATCTTTTGCCACATTACGGACCATCCACTGAGAAGATAAACAGGAATATACGTTAAATGAGAAAGAATAATTTGCTACTGCTCTCATTTCATCCACTGTGAAGTGGTAACGCTTCGGTAACTACTACACTTCACACATTAACTACAGCTTCATCTGTCTCACATGCACGCTAAAAAAAAAATGGATGAAAATTTAGTTCTCAATTTCACCAACACCATTACCACGAAACAGTTATTTCTTCGCCTTAATCAATCCAACAGCAAAATATCATTTCTTTACTCTTCCTTCACTGAAGTGAAAATGTTGCATCGATAGTGACATTGACAAAAAAAAAGAACCCGCAGCTGCGTGGGAGATGAATTGCATCGGTTACAGCCGCAACAACGGGCCATTACTTCCCGAATCACTGACAGTCTAAATAATTTCATTCCTTTTTAACATTCTTCTTCACTCTCTTCCTGACCCCACTCTAACTTTCCTCCCCTTCACACTTTCCAAGTTTACCCGTTTGTGAAATAGCAAGAGTATTATTACACTAATATTGCAGCTCCTACATATTCATGTAATTTCCTACTATCATTACTGTACTTACTTCTGCTGTTACCAAAACTATTTCATAGTCCAAAAATATGCTTACTATATAAAAATTTACAAATATATTCCCAACTGTTCAGCGTTAGGGAAGGATGAATAACACAGTTCAGCTGAAAGTCAAGAATTATATATTACTGCCTTGCAGTTTTCTACTAACATCACTGCACTTAATCAGCGTTTCCTAATACTATTTGCACTTTTGCATGCTTCTGTGCTTGCTTGCTCATTACTTGCCTGATAGCATATTTGTCAGCTTATTCGCTTATTTATATATACTTTCCGGTCCTGCTGTCAATTTGTTTCTTTTCTTTTTTTTTGCATATTTATTTGCTCTCTTTGCTTGTCATACTTTTTAAAATGAAATGAAGTGATAGTTTCAACTGAACTACCTAAAAAAGGATAGCATAAACATCAAAAATACAAGAAGGAATTCATATCCATATGCGGTCAAACAATATACGTATAAGAAACATTTGATACGCCCAAAACAAAACATCATTCAACCGAGTCAAAATGGTTTATTTAAATCACGATTTTTTTCTTTGGTTTTCTGAAGAAGTAATTCTTCTCATTTAATTAATTGCATGGAAAAGAGTGACCCTTCGACTTTTCAAGCAATATGCTATAAAAAGAAGGAAATTTTTATCAAGTGCCACTTAATCTAACCATCCCAACCATTTGCTACTCTACTGTCATCTCTCTCCTAACCCTTTGATAATTTTAAAGGCAAATTGCAAAACACAATTTCTGTAAATAAATGTTATCAGATATCGGAAACATCGAAACTACCATATATTGAACGCGCTGCGGTTACTGCTGGTGTAAGGCAGCAGCACAATGCATAATAATGACCACATTAGCCCTTATCGAAAGCTACATTAATTAGCTAACCATTTATGCCTGTATTTAATATGGTTATTAGCAAAGAAATCGGTAACGTTATGTTTGAACAGAAAACCATTTTCCCTAGGAAATGTAATCTAAAATACAATTAAAAAAAAAAGAAAAAAGAAAAAAAATCAGCATTTCAAACTACTTATTTCCTTTTCATTGGCATTCATGCCGATTTTACCTTGTCTAACCCAACTGTTGCTTTTTTTTTGTCATTTACCTTACTATAGACTGCGCTCGTAAATTATTAAAATTACTCAGTCAAATCATGATTCTTTCTTTTATCAAAATTTTTTCTACGTGCTTTTATGCTAAATTTCGCTAACATCTATAAATGCGACAAATTTTACAAATTTTAGACAAAATGACATCATGTTGCGACGCATTGTGTGAATAGATTCAACATGTTGCCGAAGTTTTGAAGAAAAAGAGAAATGACCGTTTCAGTCTCGAAAAAATGAAATTATCACCTCAACAATTTTTCGCAAAAACAACGGAATCCGCTTTCGTTAAAATTGAATTAAAACTTACCGGGGAATTTCCGGGAACTTCCTCTCTTGCTGTAGAGAAATATAGTGATGTTGTTGCAACTTGGTGATGGTTTCAAAAAAAAGTTTGAAAAAAAACATATGCATCTATATGCTACAAAATTCCGAATGTTACATAAGCTTTACCTTCTGATAACTCCCTCAGGTAGGTGACTTACTATCCGCTAGTTAAACATCAAAACAAACCACTAAAGATTTAAATACAGTGAACTGAAAATCACCAAGTGATAGTCCAATATCATGTATGAATGTAAACCTATCTAAATTGGTGATTCCCAGTCAGTGGTCCACAAGAACTAAAAATAATTCGCGAGGACAACGATGCGGTAATAAAAAACAGTCGGGCGGCTGTTGCTTCTTTTTATTTTTGCAAGTTATATCTTGATTCGTTTTTCAACGATAGAGGTCTGCTCGGATTGTAATATTGTAAAAGTGCCAAAATCCCTTTGTTAAAGTTTACTCTCAAATTAACGGAATTTATTATTTTTGAACTTTGTGGTCCTGTTACAAATAAAAAAGGTCCATGGCCAAGAAAAGATTGGGAACCACTATTCTAAATCATCAACGTCAACTCGAACTCTATCAACACTCCTTCCGATTTGTGCTCTGCGATCAGTTTTCCGTATTTTGAAACAAATATAGATTGACACAGGAAAAGAATGTCAAGTAGATCAGTGATCAATTATTTTAAACATTATGGGGAAGAAAAACGAATTTCGGTGAAATTTTGCAGTAAAAGTTCACATTAAAACATATATGCTAGAAAAAAGAACATGTATTTTTAAAAAGTTCATCTCCTTTTTTTTAAACAAATATAATCATTTAAACAATTAAAATCCATCTCCAATTCCACTGTGTTAATGAATGAAGGAGGAGAAATAAAAAAGTAGAAAGTAAGAAGAACAGAAAGATATGTTAAGGAGAAATTATGAGTTAAGATTACTTGCGGTAAGAACTGCTTTTACCCTGAAGACTTTAGGTCTAATAATAAATTATATGCTGTCTAAATCTACTGCTTTCGTTTATGTGATTAATGGTACCAAATGAAGTTCATTAACTCTTTCCCACAGGCTTTCCAACAATATCAACTGTTCCTCCCGCTAGTATCTGCAGTGACATTCAGGTTTATATAAGACTTCCGAGTTAATGTCTCTTAGAGTGACATAAAATGTCTTACACAAATAATATCACAAGAATTCAGCCAAAAGATCCAAGAACTATACGCCGTCATCAGGAATAATGGGAAACGAACCGTTAAGCAGTCAGTGAATTTGACTGAAGTATGATTCTCTGTGTAAGCAACGTAGGTAAAATGGATAAATCAGCAAACTATTCGTAAAAAGACTAATTGAATAAACATACCAGTATCAGCATTTTCCACATTCTGTTGCATCATTTGTTGTTGTTCCTTTTCTGACCTAATTATATGATCTTTATTCGTCACTTCGTTTGTCATCGGATCGACAATAGACAAAATTCTCTTCGTTTTTGTAACTTGTTGCGGTGCTTGCTGTGGAACATTGCCTGTTATCCCAGTTGCAGCTGTTGTTGCAGGTGGTGCAGTAGGTGGTGATACTGCTGCAGTAGCTTGCATTAGGAACGGATTTTGATTATAACCTACGTTCATACGTGCTGCTGCCGCTGCTGCCGGATTAATGTAATCTGCTGGCTGAGCAGGCGGGAAATATGGATAAACTGGAGCAACAACCCTGAAACTTGAGATGGCAGTGAATATTTTAAATAACAAACAATATTTTGATTACAATTATTCACAACTTAGTCCAAATAAACATTTAATCTCCCCATTCATATGTCTATTTTCGAGGGTTCTATTCTGCGATAAAATTAAAATACACTTTCTAGAAATGTCGTTTTTACGTAGTCGAAAGTTGAATGTTGAACTAACGGAGGATAATAGAATGACTGTGGATTGTTGGGTATAAAATTATGCGCACTATAAATGGCATTCGAACTATACATCGAACTAGGTGGCGCTGTCGGATAAGCCAACTGAAAAGTTAAAACATTAGAACCTGTGTTTTCCGGAGAACCTTGAATTGCTTTGAAGAAAATGAAAATTGGGCACAATGACAAACATATTTATATGCCTAATATAAAACTAGAAGGGTTACTTGAATGAGCACCAATATTACACAGTTTAATAGTTTGCGATCTCATTTAAAATAAATTAACTTCAGAAGAGAAAGTGAACAGACCTGCGAAGTTGGATAATTTTGTTGTGTCTGAACTGGTTGCGTTTGATATCTGGCAGTATGTATTGTTATCTGATGATTACCTTGCTGCGGACGTGCACCTTCTACGTGTGCTTCGCCTGCCGCAAATTGCATACTTGGATTCCTATAACATAATATAAAAATGGTTAGTTTACCAGTTAAAATTGGTTATAACGCAACTGAAAAACGAGAGAAACCACTCTTACAATAATTTGCTTTGCGACTATTATTTCAAATTTGAATAAAATTCAGGTTTTCAGGCTATTGAAAAACGGGAAAATGCGCAAAATTAAACAAATAAAGCAACATTATCATCATAACTTTAACTTTGTTGGTTATCAAACAGAATGAACTTACGGAAGATTTCTCGGCGGTATCCGTGTAACGGTGGGATACTGGCCCGCAGTATGGGGCGGATGTGCGCTGTCCACACTTGGTATAGCGAATGGAATTGGCTGCTGGGGTGGCTGCCCAGCATTTCCGTTAACCAAAGGTTGTGGTGGCTGCCCCGGTGGTAGTACCCCAGCGGGTACTTGAGAACTTACAATATGTTGGCCACCATAATCTGAAAATTCCATCTTTAAGTCCATTAAGAAATATCTCCACACATAATTTCAGGTAGATTTATTCCAGAGCTGAAACAATGTAAATGAATTCAAATGGTGAAAATTTCTCAATACAGGTTTCCTTCTTCATTTGTTTTAGATTCTGGAATTTATAAAATGGCGGAAAATTAAGCTGACGTCTAATTGTTGCGCCTGAGCGCTGTATAAGATTCGACACTGCACCCTTCTGATTTCTTGAACCAAAACCTGATACTAACTGCTCAAATGATGCACCTATAAACAAGAATGTAACATACTACCGTGCTCTAGGGATCTTTTTATTGTCTAATGCAATGCTTACAAAATCAATTTATCGTCTTCGACAAGACTAAATCTATCACTAATCTATTCGTTCTCAAGCCTAGACATAAGATCAATCTATTTGTCCTATTAAGCGATGGTGCTTAATCCATAATCAGTTTATTCTTTGAATTATCTGTGCAATAGTAACTACACTATCCATAATATGTTCACATGTCTATATATAAAGATGAAACGCTTACATTTCGCTATCAATTTCAAAAAAAAAAAGAAAATGATATCATGAAGCATACATAATGAAGAAAAATAAAATACCCTCCTCGTCTATCTTCGTTCTTTCCCATAACAAAAAAAAAAGAAAAAAAATCATTAAAAGCAAAATTTCTCCAACAAACCTGAGGGAATGATAAACGGCAAGGTAGAACTATTCCAGCATAACATGTAGAATAAAAATGGGAATAAAAACGAGATTTCTGCATTCCAAGGAATGGATCATTCTATGGGAGGTACGGTACTTTTGACAGACATTATCACTACAGAGAACATTACTTACGACAAGCCATCTGAGCAATAACTTAACATCATTCTCAGTTGGGATCAATTTCCTGCTTGGTTGCTGTCATCCACCTATCCGTCCGTTCTTTAACTTTCCTCAAAAAACTTTTTCTTTTCTCATTTTCCTTCTTCACTTTGATTTCTAATACTTTCTTCTTCAAATAGTGATCGATATCAAATAAACGATTAATAGTAAAATCTAACTTGTCTAGAAATCTTCCCCCTTTATTTAGCATTTTAGTCATTTGTTATAATAAATGGTCATTAACTGAAATCACCTGGAATGGATCCATTTCTTCTTGGTTTCCCTCGTGGGTTACCACTGGACATATTATGTTTGAAATTCCTGAAAATTGAATTTTTTGCTTCATTATCGATTAGTGATGGTATCATAGACTAATCAAATGACAGGATAGACTAATCTAAATAACGATATTTTTAATTATAGATAGATACAGAGATGAATAACTGGTGCTATTTACGGAACAGATGGTTAATTTGGTAACAAACTGGTTAGTCTAAAAAGAGAGAACTTTTTTAATTACAAAGAGATACAACGATTACGAATAGTATCACTGGAACAGACGACTAACATAATGACAGACACATCAGACCTAAATAAGCGAGACCTTATTAATCACAGAGACAAAATAATTGCTAATCTGCGCTGTCCACAGCGTAGGCTGTTAAGCTAATGACAAGCACGTTTAATTCGGATGGATCCAAGGGTTTGACCCAACGATCAACATTGTTTCTATCTCTTCTAACTTTCCTGTTCTTTAACTGGAACATAAGGTCATTTTTGGGTCATTTGCCGAATTTTATACCTAACTGATTTATCATTACTATGTCTATCGACTCTTCCCAATTACAACCTGAAAAAAATAACTTTTTTCATCTATGAGAAAATTTAATTTAAAAAATATATGCGTACGTATTTGTACAACATTCAAAAGTTCCATCTGCAATCGTAAGAATCCACGAAAAAGTATCCAAACTGAATGTTTATTTATAATCCAAGAAGTGCAAACGTATCCATTACTTTCGGTTTTGGACAGAATTACGGATCTTACCTCCTGTTTCTAAATAACAAACTAATTGATTAATTGGTCGTTCCAAAAACATTTTTGGCAGCACTTCAGTTAACCCTATCCCAGATGTTAACAATTGGTACTAAATTTAGTCTCCGATTACAAGATACAAGATAAAAGTACAGTCGTCATTTAATTTCCATGTAAACCTATCGCACCGTTTTGTATACGGATCTCAACAGTCCTCAGCACTAATTTACTGGAAGTGATAAACACTGACTCATCACTTACCCCCTCCATCCCTCTACCTTCTCAACAAGCCTTTCCGGAGTCCAGGCCAAATAGACCAACTTTTCGTTTATGCTCATCCTAGGCCTGCTTATGGGTTCTAACACGAAAACGGCGGTACTGTAGTGTACTGTACCATACCGTACCGTATCGTGCCGGAAATATCCAATTCCCTATCCTCCCGTTCACCTTGTTAAAGCAGACACATACCATAACCCAGCTGTAGGCTTCCTTGCCGAATATAGTGCTGCAACACACAAGATCATGGCATTCTTTCAAGGATTTGGGAACGGAATGAAAATCATTTATCTCATTGCACGTAAATTAAAATATCTGAAATGGATGGAAGTTGAAACGTGGCTTGTTGGTGGTGCGTTCCACTTTTTTTATGAGAAATAAATAAAGGTAAGGAATGTAGAAATGGGAGACAATGAATCATTGAAGAGAGAGAGAGAGAGACAGAAGGAGAGAAGGAGAAAAGAGATGAACAATTACTTGTCACCTGGTCGTTTGTATTTTTTTTTGCGAAGGTTATAAGTTACTAGATAGGTTTCAGAATGAAGCTAATTATAGATGAAGTAATTACAGTTCAAATGATCTTAGAATATAAACGCTTAATTGAATTGAATGGAAATGAAACAATGAGTAAAATGAGAAATATTTCATGTCGGAAAGAGAGAAGAAATGTGGAAAAGAAAGAGATTATGAAAAGAATAGCTAAGAAGAAATGAATGTGAAATATCCTTACATAATTTGCTTCATTTGTAGGGTCTTACGTGATACACTATAATAGTTAACGTGACACAATGTACATGATACGCTGTGTAGCTGACGTGACCCAACGTACGTGATATAGAGCGTACTGCTTTTGCAAAAATTTACGTATAATTTATTTCTCACAGACGAGTTGACGTACTCTTTTCAACGCCACAATCAAGATTTGACCATAAAGGTCAAAGCGGTAATAAATTTCACTATTAAAATGCTTTGATTCTTTCACATTGCTAATAGAAGCTAACATCAAAATCAAAAGAAAAAAAAAAAAGAAGCCGAAAGGTTGACAGATTTGTGTGACAGGGGTTGGACTGTTTTTTTTTTTTATTTTGAACTGTTTTCCCCAGATAATGTCATCTACCAATCAATATCGCACGACCCTATAAATAATAGGCGTGAGTGATGGTAATTTATGGTTTTTTTTTTTTTTACATCATCAGTTTTTGAAAATTAATTATTTTCAGTCCATACGGAAGACAAATTTTTGAAAATAAAAAAAATTATCAGAATCCCGGAAACTTTCAGTTTATCTCAGATAAAAAGTTTTCAGTTTATTCTTATTTCAATTTGTCTCAAACTGCTACATTATTATAATCTTTGAATAAAAAGTATACAATATTAGGATTTAAGTGTCAAATTTTAATTTTAAAATAAAACGAAAATTTTAAAAATTTTGAAATAAAACGAACAAAAAAAAAAAACGAACAAACTTTTCTAGTATTTGCTTTTTTAAAGAAAGGAATTTTTCAAATAATTTTTTTTGGTAAAAAAAATTGAAAAAAAAAGATTAGTTAAAATTCAGTAGTTCCATCCTCACAAATTTGATTATTTTTATATTCTTTTTAGTACCAAAAAGGGAAAAAATTGAAAGGAATCATTTCTTAACTTGAATTACTGTAAACTTATGTAAATTTGAAAATAAGAAAAAAAGAAAAGAAAAAAACCTGTGGAACAACGGCATTATGGCTTAGATGGAATGTTTGATCAGGTATACTATATCTATCTATGAACAAAGGGAACTATCCTTCTTTAAAGATAAACCAGTCTAATCGTTGAAGGCCGATCAATGGCCGTAAATTTGATTGAAATGAATTAGATAATTGGAAAAGCTGTGTATTATTCAAGAACTTTTCGAATATCATCGAGAGATTTGCATAATTCCCGAATGAAATATAGGAAAAAAGGATGCTTCCCTAGCCTTTTTTTGTTTTTAAATTGATGACATGACTTTCCATCCTTACTTTTTCCTTCCATTACTTACTTGACTTACTGATGTAAGGCTAAGAATTATGGATGGAATAATTCAGTTTTGATTGGCGAAGCATAAAGAGATGATAAAAGAGGAAGAAATAGTGCGGCATATGAATTCAACTCTTGTTAACAGAATCTTTCTTTTGTTCATTATCAAACATTATCAATTATTTTCTCTCATTTGAGAAGGGAAGGATAAACACGGTGACAAGGACAAAAAATGTTGTTGACAGCGGTTTAATGTCATGCTAGCGCAATCATAAATGACTGTTTGTTGTTTAAATGATAGTAAGAGACATTTCTTGATGAAATTATGGCTAGATACTGATGTTGTTTGAGAGAGAAGTTAATAAGTAGTTGAGTAAGTAATTTATTGTTAAATGATGCTAATCACTAAGTCCTGATTTGACTACTAAATTAAAGATGATGAAGTAGGAAGAATATTTCTTTTTTTCATTTCCTCTTTTTTTTTTTACTTTTGAAGTTCACTGTCTGTGAACCGTTTCAAACGATAAATCATTTCACATAATTAAATAACTGAAGAGATTGATATGAAAGGAAAGTTAAACATACATGTGTCGTTGCAACATCCTTAAGATCGGATGGAGAGGTTGGTTTGCATGATTTTCTCGGTCAACCGGGCCAGTTGGAAGGTTTTCATGATTTTCGCTGTCGATTGGATGTATTTGAAGATCCGAATGATTTTCTCTGTCGTTTGGATGATGAGTTAAAGGGTTTGGTTGATTTTCTTTGTCGATCAAATAAGTTGGAAGATTTCGCTGATTTTCACTGTCGATCAGATGAGTCGAAAGATGTGGTTGATTTTCTCTGTTGATCGGATGAGTTGAAAGGTTTGAAAGGTTTCCGTGACTTTTTCTGTCGATCAGGTGTGTTGCAAAATTTAGTTGGTTTTCTCTGTCGATCAGATGAGTCGGAAGATTTGGTTGATTTTCTCTGTCGATCAGATGAGTTGAGAGGTTTCCGTGATTTTCTCTGTCGATCAGGTGGGTTGCGAGATTTAGTTGATTTTCTCGGTCGATCGGATGAGTTAAGGGGTTCCCGCGATTTTCTCTATCGATCAAGTGAGTTGCAAGATTTAGTTGATTTTCTCTGTCGATTGGATGAGTTGCACGATTTAGTTGATTTTCTCGGTCGATCGGATGAGTTAAGGGGTTCCCGCGATTTTCCCTATCGATCGGATGAGTTGCACGATTTAGTTGATTTTCTCGATTGATCGGATGAGTTAAGGGGTTCCCGCGATTTCCTCTATCGGCCAGGTGAGTTGCACGATTTAGTTGATTTTCTCTGTCTATCCGTTGAGTTGAAAGATTTCCACGACTTCCTCTGTTGAATAGATGGGTTAGAAAGTTTGGCTGATTTCCTTCGTCGTTTGAATGAACTGAAAGATTTCGGTGATTTTCCCTGTCAATCGAAAAAACTGGAAATTTCCGATGATTTGATCTGTCGATCGAACGAGCTGGTAAGTTTCGATGATTTCTTCTGTCGATCGGATAAGTTCGAAAGTGGTTTGCACGATTTCTTCTGTCGATCGAATGAGCTGGAAGATTTGCATGATTTCCCGTATCGATCGGATGTGTTGGAAAATTTGAATGATTTTCTCTATTCATTTTACATATGATTTGTCGAAGTTTTTTTGTATCCTTGAAGAATTTGAAGTACTTTCTCAAATTTCTTCTGTTACAAAGATCTGTAAAGATTTCATATATTAGTAGCATATGTTTGACGTCATGGTATACCCATTCAATGTTGCGAAATAATAATTAATGATGCAATGGTCATTCTGCTAAGGTCAGGTTACAGGTCAATCACTTGCCAACCCCGTTTCCATCCGCTGCTATTACTTTCTACTAAAATATTGATTAATGTTAATATAACAACTGTTGCATAATTGTACTTTTAGACTTTATAAAATTCCATTATATAGACATAAAGGTGTATTACTAATATAGTAGCAACAGTATAATATAGTAGAGTATAGTACAGCATAGTACAATAAGCTATATTATAGGATACCGAAGGAAAAACTCGGTAATTGTATCAATTTTCTAAATTCATCATTTGTTATAAGAAAATGGATTTTTTTTCTTTTGTTACTTTTGTATTTTATATTTTATTGAATGCAATACTTACTTATCTATTCAGATAGTGTTCGATAAAACATAATGTATATGATGATAAGATATCAGTTGATGATGAAATGAATTATTAAATGATAAAAGATGGATATTGAACAAATTGATTATTATCTCCGATATTTATCCAGACAAAAATTCTTAATGGTCATTTGATCATTGCAAAGATCCTCAATGACAAAAATCCTCGTGGTCATCTGGTCATGAATGAAATCGATGGAAATAATAATTTCAGGGAATTATAACTATTATTCCTTAAGGTGATGGATATTCCTGCGATAATAAATTCAAACTGTATCACTAAGAACTACTTTCTACTAATTTCTTCACGTAATCAAACAGAAAAAATAAAAAGTAAACGCAGTGAAGATCAGCAAATAAATTTAGAACTGGTTGTACCTAAAATAATGGTACAGAAAGAGAGATGGTCAGATGATCACTGACCTCACCAATGTGTTGTGTCCAGAACAACAACAACAACAACACTCCCTCTGAGGTCAAACACATCATCGCTCTTTCTCTATTCATCGATTGTTTCGATTGCTTACCAAACAGATCATATTCTTCACCATTTAATATCTCATTTGTAATTGAATATATTTTTGTAAAAATTTTTCATTGAAATTTTGAAATAGCTGAAAAAGTTATCGATTTTTTTCCTTGTTTCTTTTTTGTTTTTTTTCTTTGTTTTTGTTTTTTGTTTATTTGTTTGTTTATTAATGCAATTGTAAAATTTACTCAACAACTTTATCTTTGAATGATTTTGGAATGTAACAAAATTGTTTATTATTTCTTTTAAACGAATGTTCTGCTCTTTGATCTTCTAAATTCCAATCGTTAATCTTTGATCTTTTCTGTTTCCTCTTCATAATTTCATTGGCATTGTTTGTTTTCCCGGTTGTAATGATCACCAAAAATGATTTCTCAGTAACAATAATATTCACATATCGATTAGTACATAAATCTTGATCGCATATTTGCATATCGATTAGTACGTAAATCTTGATCACATTTTCGCATATCGATTGGTAAATGCTGATGATAGCTATAATTTACAATCATAGATCATATATTTAAATTTACGACATTATTTGGGATAGATGATATCCATAGTTAATAATGATTACTGATTAGAGATTTTAGTATCATCTAAACAATCCTGTAATTTCTCGTTTTTTTTGACTTTATTCTCATAGTTTATTCCTAGCCTATGATTATTTAGGCTTTTTTGGCCATTGTTATCTTTATCCTCATTTTGGCTATTGTTAGTCCTCAAATTATTCCTCATTCTTTTTTTCAACCTTTATATCACAATTTTTCTTCATATACGAAAAAATATTCGATGCATTTCATTTGCATATAATTTGGCTATTATTTATTTGACATTATCATTAATGCTTCCAAATTCTTCCTATTTCAAATTATCCAATGAAAGTATGAGAAATTGGAAAGAAAGTAATAAGGAAATTAACAAATAGCAAAAACTGATTCCGGATATATTCTGGCCGTCAAATTACTATTTAAAATTTACTTTTGGCTGATGGCATTTCCCACCGGCTTTTTTTTCGAAATATTTACCTAAATTTTCATATTTCTGAAACTGAAAAGTATTGATGTGAAGTAAAACGAGCTGAAATGTGAATGTATAATTTTTTTTTGTTTTTTTTTTTTTGCGGCCGATAAACAGCCAATTATCATGGATGATGTGTTAAAAATTCAACCATTCTTGAAATTTAATGATTGAATTATTTAATGCAAATTTGCCAATAATTTCAAAGATTATAAAAAGATGAAAAAATTGGGAATTATTTATTGTAGTATTTCATCATTTTTGTAGAATTAT